AAGATTAACAGCATACATATTGTAAGTTTGTTGGCTTGCTCTGTCTGACTGCAGGGAGAGAATCAAACAGCCTCATCACTCCCAACTCCCCCCAAAAGCCAGCGTTACATACGGGAGTTTAAAACATGCAGCACAGGAAACGATGCTGTTTAGCTGCACAATGTGTTTTTGGAGCTGAGCCACTAAAAGTCTAAACATCTCGACCTCTGTTGGTTTGATTTTGGCTTAGTTTTTTTTGGGAAAATCTTTCTGCAAGACTTCACAGCTTAACTCCGAGTGCTGCTCCGAGTCAGCCACAGTCAGCTCTGGTGGGACCGGCTACTGATGCTGCGCTGATAAAACCAGACTCACAGCTGGCACAGTCCCAGTTCAGCCCAGTGCCGGTGGACTGGGTTGGCTCAGTTCAGGCCAAACAAGATCTTGCTCACCAAACTGAGAAAAACATTTTATAGTAGACAAATATTTTTTGGGAAAAAAAATGTATGTTGTGACGTTAAGGTTCACCTGAACTGTAACGAAGGGCCATTAATTAACATTAAGACAAATTTAGATTAACTGACAAATATAAATTTGATGTGACAACTGAGGGAAAAGAACTTTACGTTTAACTTTCTACTTTTTTTAACTAAGTGTTCCTTAAAATGAGGATATAAAGCAGCAACGCATTGTTGTCTGCTGTGTGATGTTGTGTTAGCGGCAGCAGTGATGGAACAGCACACGTTCTGAACTCGTCACAATCGGACAAACACAGATGTAAGTAATAGCTTTACAGATGGCTCTGTTCTGCTCAAGCACTCAATAAAACCTTAAAAGGCCATATGGAGAAAATTCGTTTTTATCGTGTTTTGTGGTCGTTATTAACTTGGAGGTGTAAAATAAAAGCTGTTAAGACAAAGAAGACGTTTGCTGCTGCCATGCCTCCCAGCCTTACGAGCCTGTATGAGTTTTACTGAACCGCTACGTATCGCCGTAAAACGACAGAAGTCAGGAAGGGTGTCCCAAGAAGCCAGTTCCACGTAGCCAGGCTTTTACTGGTGTAAGTCCAAAAACTCCAGTCAGACACAATG